ACCTACATACCTACATACCTACGTACATACATACCTACATACCTCCATACCTACATACCTACATACCTACATACCTACGTACGTACTTACATAAATACATGCATGCATGCCTTTGCACACTATGTATGTTAGTGTTTGTAAAGGTTTTCGAATGGGGCAGGGACCCTTGAGAAACCAACGAGTGGAACCGCCTGTGCATACCGGTGACCTGCCCTGCTTCACAAGACCCTGGCAGCGGCCAGAAGTTGCTAGCCGCCTTTTTGCTAAATCGTGGATTCTGCTTGTGTTTGGCAGATCCCGTCGGCTTGTCCTTTGACAGTCTCCGGCAGAAAGGCAGGCTCTGAAACTCTGAGCGCTCCGCAGTGCTTCGGCATGTCCAGTGCTATGCCTGAAGTTGCAGCGACTGCAGGCATCGATGCAGACTTGACCAAGCTGAAGGCCTGTGTCACTTGAATCTCACTGCGAAGTCCGGCCTTGTCCGAGCAAGGCGAAAGCAAATTCGGCAAGCCTTTTGCTCGTGTCCTCTCGCAACAAACGATACTTTGTGAACCGTTTCGGATATCGACCTTTCCTGCACCAGCTTCAAACTCTCCACGCAGCACAGACATGGTTTCCCTCTTGGAAAGCCTCACGGTGCAAACGCTGGTTTTCGCCGGTCCTGGTGTTGGCGACGTTGCAGTGGCTTTGTTGTTGGTATGTTTCTGTTTCTTAGTGGCGCAACTGGGAGGCAGGACTTGCGAGAGAGGAAGCGCAGCGGGAGGAGCCGTCCCTTTGCACATATTTGTGAAGTTGTCTAGCAATCAGGCTGAGGGATGAGGAGAACTGGAGCTGTGGCAAGGGCGCATTTGACACTCGACTGTCTCTTTCTTCACTTGTGATTCTTTCAGCTCCTCAATCAAAGGAAGGGTTGCTTGATAATGGCAGCTATTGCAGACTTGACACACACACACACGCACAGCCGCTGCCGCTGCATTGAGCTTTGGCTTGTTTGCTCCAGGAGCTTTGGATGAAGTTCTTGTGTGGTCCGGCGCTCAACCATAGCGATGTCGCGATGTTTCTCTGTCACAAGCAGTCGCCGCACCCGAAAAGGTAATGATGCGCCAGTTGGTGGCGATGCTCTGCCATCTCCTGACGAGTTCTTGGGGACAAAAGGATATGTGTGATCAACAGCCGTGGCGATGATGACAGCTGTCTCAAATGCAAGATAGCTGTGTTCTCACAGCCATGACTTTTTACGCAACGTTCTTCTGCGATGCAAGTGCTGGGATAAGTAGGAAGTGGTCCGTATTAGTGTTTGTCACCTTCTTTAAAGGCGTCGTGTCATCCTGTCACTTGCAGCAGAGTGTACAAAACCAGGCCCTTCCCCGGCCGCCCATGTTGAAGCAAAGCACTAGCAGTCAGAAGCGACAACAGAATTGCCCTGGACGCTCCACACCGGACAGACGTGGTCCATGCAGTTCTGCGCGAGTCGGGGTTGGCACCGTTGGCACGTGCATGTTCGACTCTGCTGCCGTCTACTCAGACATGCGTGACCTCAAAGAAATTCGTTAAGTGCAGCTCCCCTTGCCTTGTAGAAGGCGCAGAGTGGCTGGGGAACTGTGTTCCTTTCCCCATACTTCCCCATCGGTTGAGTCTGTTTCGTTGTGCCAGCTCGGAGGCATTCTTCGACATGTCGCTCAGCCACGCTATGCTGCTGTCCCTGGAAGCATGATTATCGTACTAGAGTGGTTACTACATGGAGCTTGTGACATAGTTTTGGGTTCACGCGGCTACCGCAAGGTGCTGTTGTGTCCGTCTCACGTTTATAGCGGTGTGCCCTTGGGGCAGGAAGTTCGCAAGTGTGGTTTGGAGGGTTGAGTCGCCGCGCTAATAGCAAACGACGTCAGAGTGTCGGACGGCTTTGGTTTCAGCCAAAGTCCGCACTTGTAGACTGTTGATGTGTTTGTCAGGATGGAGCTTCTTGTTCCTTCATGTCACTGTTGAATTCTGTTGAACTCACCGTTGCTTGTCCGGTGCTTGTGCAAGCAAAGGCATGACAGTTACTGACACATGAGGCTGGGCTCATCATACATAGCAGCCGGATCGAGAGGAGATGAAGTTACACTGGATCCTGTGATGATGCTTGGCACGGGAGCATGTCGTTTGATATTTTATACCATCTGGTGTCAATTACGTGGCTGTGAAATTTGAAGGAAAGCCAGCCCCGGAGTGTCCGAAGCCATTACGGTTGCGCAGCCTGCAGCCAGCACACGCTGCAAGCTGCTTTCAGTTGCTGGGAGAAAGTCTTCGTGACAAAGCTCAGGCTGCACAAGACTGGCTTTTTCTTACCGGCCCATCTCCCCTGGTGGCAGCAACCGCGAGCCGGGCTTGGCTACGTAACCTGGCATTTCACCTGTTGTTCTAATTTTGCAGTTGGGTGGTAAATGGCCCTGGTAAGGTACTCTATTCATTTTTGGCCTCGCCACTGTTGCAATGATCTTGCAGATCCGTTCGGCACTCGCAGTGGGCTCGGTCACGGTTGCAGAATGGAAGTCTCATCATAGTGTGCCTTTCACAACTTGCTCGAGGCTATCTTGAAGCGAGGCATGAACCACCTGTCGAAGCTAGATGAACAGGCACCTTGTGCAATGTCAGCTGAAAGCCTCAGCACCTATGTGATATGTGACCTGTCCAGGTTCCACCGGAGACTTGGATGACAAGTGAAGTGTTCGTGAAGTTCTATCAGGTTGATACCGTCTGGTGGAAGATGTCTACATTAAGTGTACATTTTGGGGGAAGTACCACATCTTTCTATGGCCCAGGAACCCATGAGCCCTGCAGCTTTTCATGCGGCCGCAGAGGAGGACCGGAGTTTCCCCTGCAAGAGCGGGGCAGCGCTCGGGTGTCTGCAGGCCGCCTCGCTGCAGCGCCAGCGCCTCGCGGAGCACCGTCGCCGCCTGGCCCCTCAGGCCACGGATGCGAAGGCGAAGTGTTTTTTGCGCCACGGCGCCGCCTCTCTCGGCCAGTCCTCTCTGCGCCGTGCCCGCAGCGTGCCGCGGCCATCGCCAGTAAAGGCAGAATCGCGGCCACGGGCCCGCAGCGCCGACAGGCTCCAGACCCCATGGTGTCTCCACAGATTTCGCTGAAGAACTGAGATGCAGGTAATGCGGCTGCTGACCGTCTGAGTCATCCGTGGCAAAGCATACCAACTTCACTCTACATCTCAGCCTAACAGCAGAGTTAGTATGTTCTTCTTAGAGACTTGCTGGCTGGGCTGGCTTTACCACAAGATGGCAGAGATGGGCGATTCGCGTCTCACTGGATCTTGCCGAGCCTTGGGAAATGGTCCTGGCACTCACCGAGAAAAGCACCTGAATTTGGGTGTTTGCTGTGCAGATGCAGAGTATGAGTAAGGAGGTGCACATTGCTTTGTGTCACTTTCGGATGTGCTGCGGCAATCTCTTGTAGTCATGCTGTGACTCGCATGGCACGTTCTGAGTTGTGTGGTGCCGTTGGCCTCGTCATGCTTTCTGACCGCTCCACATCGCCTCTTAAGCTGGTTGTGCCGATGGTTCTCAGCGCCTTTCACCTTCGACAGGCCAAGGTGATCTCCTTCTCTGGCACGCAGAAGTCTGCCTTTGCCACAGAGGCTCGACGGCAACTGCTTGAGAAATTAGAGGGTAGATTTTATGCTCTCGTCGACAGAGCTGGGCCCGGTTTTTTTTTGTCTCCTCACGTTCGCTCTTGTCTGGGGCCCTTGCGAGGCCCTTGGTCTTCTGGTCCTCTGGTCCTCCGGTCATTTATCATTTTGTTTTAGCCTTGCCGCGGGTCGCCCGGGTCGCGGGCCACAGGCTGCGGGCCGTAAAAAGTTGGATTAGCAAATGAGATATATGATGAGTATTTATCGCTAAATGAGGCATCAGGGGGCGTGTTTGAGATATATTATGATGAACCGGAGTCGCCACATGATAAGAAGTATGATGGGAATCGCCACGTGATAAATGAAGTGCATGTCTAAGATGTATGATGAACAGCAGCAACAACACAATCTATCTGAACTGTTTGTTAAGTACACGTGTGTGTGTGTGTGTGCACGGCATGCAAAGTCATGTCTGCCCTCTCTAGTTTCTAAGTTTTCGCACGAACCATGCTAAGACCTCCCCAGGCATGCGTCAAGACACCATCGACAATCCTTCACACATAACCAGCTCCGCTTTGTCACCCCCCCGCCTAGAGTGTATAAAGCTCCAAGTTCGCTTCAACATCATGTCCTGCCAGCAGAAACAGCACGCATGTGGATCCTTTCAGCACCTGATAGAGGCATTGTGGGTGCAAACAGGGGCGGGGGCAGCCAGTTACTCAGCCGACCGCCGCTCTCCTTTTCAGCCCTGCCGCGGCCGCGGGTCTGTGAAAAGTTGGGGTTTAGCGAAAGTGCAGAATCGGAGTTGGCAAATGAGGCGGCGTGTTCAAGATATGTGATGAAGGGCCGCGTTTAAAATTTTTGACGAACCGGTCTCGCCCAACCGGTCTCGCCCAATGGGGGGAGGGGTGGCGTGTTTAAGATATATGATGAACCGGAAACACCACATGAGGAGCATGTTTAGGATACACTTATTATGATGAACGGGAAGCGCCATAGGAGGGGGGCGTGTTGAAGATATATGATGAGCCGTAATCGCCACATGAACGGGCGTGTTTAAGGTGTACGGTGAACCTGGATCGCCAAATGAGGGGCCATGTTTAAAAATATGATGAGCCGGACTAACCACATGATGGGGATTAAGATATATTATGATATGATGAGCCGGAATCGCTACATGAAGGGGCGTGCTTAAGATGTATGATGAACCGCAATCGAGAACTGATTTCGCGTGTTTAAGAAATATGACGAACCGTTTGGGGCAAAACAGGACCTTGCAAATTGCAATTCCCCAGCAGCTTGATGCAAAACAGTAGCAAATTCTACAATTTACAGTATTTGCAACCAAAAGAAGAGGCAATGAGATCGGGGACCGCCAGCGTTTGGAAAAAAATACCCTCCACCCGACAGAGCTGCACATGAGAAAGAATCACGCTGCGAGATCCCGTGGCTTACTTGTCGCTCGGCAAAGCCTGGTGCCTCCCAAAAGTCTTCAACACCACATAAGGGGTTTGTCTCTAGTGTGGCCAAGATGTAGCATATGGGTGCGTCGCACAGCTGAAGCCATGTTTGCGGCTTGCACACATGGCCTCCTTGCACAGCCACCCGGGCTGCTCGTGCAAGTCCCTGAGCCGACTCCCGCATGGTCATCCCGAACTGTGGCAGCATTTGGTAGTTGCATTTTGACCTGTTTCTGAAGTAAAGCCATGCTTGAGGATGGTGCTTGTCGAGTTTGCAGTGGATTGCACAATTGCACGATCTCGGGGGATATGGGGTGGGGGAAGAAGGCTTCACTCATTCTAAACCACGGTGTTAGAGGGCGAACTCCTCTCGTCACCAAGTGTTCCAGCCATACTGTCGCGAAAAACGGCACCAGTAACCATCTGACACCTTTGCATGCTCATGCGCCCGACAGCATGTTCAATTGCTATCTGCAGTCTATATTCTGCGAGCAGAGTATCGTTAAGTACGCCAGACAAGCGGCCCTCGGAACGTGAAACATGGTTTCTGCATCCAAAAAGGCCGTCTTGTCCCACACGTTTGACCGTGTGACCCGGCTTGGGCTGAGGCTGCGCACATCTGACAGCCAGGAGTCGGATTTCTTGGACTTTCTGTGCCGTCGTGGCTCTCTCGGCACGATGCAGGTGGAAGAGTCGAGGGGCGCGAGTGACTCGAGGCTCGGTTTCGCTGGCTGAGCTATTGGGCCCAGAACTGGCAGCAGACTGGCCGGAGCTGCAAGCTGTGGAGAGTGAGGGCCTTTCCGTCGTCGCTGCCGACTTGTTGGACTTAGATCGGTGCTTGAAGCTGGTGTCACAGGTCTTCCGTGTGTCGGATTCTGAAGAGGAGAGTGTAAAGAAGGGCATTGCTGGAAGGCTCGGGGCTCGTCGAAGTTTGGTGGGCCTTGATGCGGCCTCCCCGCGGCCTTTGCTCGCTCGACCAGCGCCGAAAGGATCTGACGAGCGGCCAGATTTGGGACTGGTGCTTTGCCTGGAGCGTCCAAGCACACAACCGGAAGACTTTGCCGGCTTGGTGGACTTATCCCTCTGGCCGGACGATGGCCGCATCCGAGCGCCTGGTGCAAAAACGAAGCCTGGCGTGGCCAGCAAGCCCTATGTGCTCAACCTTTGTGTTGACCCAGCCTACAGACGGAGGGGGCTGGCACGAAAGCTGATGGGCATCAGCGAGAGGCTAATGTGTGATATTTGGGGTGATAGCGAGGTGTGTTTGCATGTAGAAGATGACCAAATCGCAGCGAACGAGCTCTATGAAAGACTGGACTATGTCCCTGTGAAATACACGCTCCTTCGGCTGCAGAGTGCTTCAGACGGGTCGATATGTGACTCATCAATCTGGCGGTCCCTGCTCCGTACCCATACCAACTGCCTTGTTGCCTTGCACCTTGTGTTCATCTCGATTGTTCATGACTGTTCGAATTGCAACTGCCACATGCCGTATCAGTGGCGGGTCTTTTCCAACAGGACAGCACCATCTGAGGTACGACAAGGAATTTCCGTACACCAAGGCCTGGGGTAGGGCGCATGTGCAAAGCCTTGTTCTCTGGCTTGACGTTTATCGCAGGCAGAAGCAAAGGTCCTCCGGAACGCTGCTTGATTGCCTCTGCGAATCACGGAAAGATCGTGATTGGGTCACTCGGATCTTTCCAAGACGAGGTTACCTGGCGACGGAAGATGTTGCCAGCGCCGTCTCCAAACTCGCCAGCCCGAACAGGCAAGTGTGCTAGGTTCTGTGTCGGTCCCGGCAATGCAGAGTTGTTGGCTGCATCTTTTGAAAGGTGTGGCGCTGCCGGAGGGGCAGGCAGGGGAGCAGCTCTGTCGGATTCTTTCGAATCTGGCATGTGTGTAGTTCTGTGCAATGTATGAGCATCACGACACCCGGAACCTATCGCACATCCAGGCAATCCCTGCTGCAAGCGCTTTGGATCCGTACGACGACTTTATAGACCCAGACGACGATTTCGAAGATGAAGATGAGGTGCGGTTTATTCGTCAGCCCCGCTCTAGCCACGCTTTCCTTAATCGCTGGCATCTTAACCTGCAAGGACGACGACGAAGACGAAGACGAGGAGGATGCACGAAAATTGTTTGCCGGGTTTGCTGCATGAAATAACGAATTTCGGATCGTGCATGATCGTGCCGTGTGTGAAGAAGGGTACGGCACGTGGCAAGGTGGGTTCTAAGGGTGTCTCATTGCCATGGAGCACATGAGAAACTGGCCGGGTGATGATGCGGCAGCAAACTGGCTGCAAAGTCCTGCCAGGAAGTCCAAGACGATCCGGACACCTAGCTGAGATGGCGCTCTCGCGGTTTTTTTGGCTGTGGTGTGGGCTTCCGGCGGTAAAGCTTGCCACTAAATCTCGGCTGAAGAGCTTCCACGCCCACAGCTGAGGAAGACTTCGATTGGGTCTCTTCGCTGATGAAGTGACGTACTCGATGTATGGGACCGTTGGTGCCTCCTTCGCTAGCGAGCACTGACTGGGAGCGGAGATTCGGATGCCTCGGCCCGCGGCCCTCGGCCCCTCCCCTCGGCGTTCGGCCCCTCGGCCCTCTTGAAGCCGACGTGCTCGACGACCGCCGCGGAACCACAAGACGTGCGTGTCCGAAAAGGGGCCACCTGTCGTCTTGTCGGAGTCACTCAGAAAGCCTTCCGCAAGCCGCAGGTTTCCGGTCCTTCCAAGTTTCTCAAAAAAATTGAGGCACGGCATGGCAGGGCACTTGTGGATCGAAGTTTGCTTCGCATCTGACGGCATGATTGGAGCCCTCACCTGTGGCAGCGCTTTCATGCAGGATTTGGACTGCAAATGCCTTGTCGTTGTGGCACCCGAGCTGGCAGCAAGCTCAGGGAACGGACGGAGAGACGGAACCATCAACAGGATGCCAGAAGCATCTACCCTAGGAAGTGTTGAGGGTTCTAGACTTTGAACCTGCATGTGTGGCCAGTTTGCTTTTTCTGCTGCCGACACCAATATAAGGAACAGCTTCGCACCATTGCAGACTTGAGCAAAGATGCGGAGGATCAGTTGCTGCCTCGGTGTTATTGCGTCAAGTGCCTGCAGCCTTGTGCCAATACGAGAAGTCCGAGTGGCCGAAGCATGCAGAAGTGCAGAAGAGATTGTGCACACTTCCCCAACTAGCTTGGCTTGAACTGCTCGAGGATGGGAATCATCCTCCTCAACGCTCGAATACACGGCCTGCAGCTCTTTGCTGTTGGGTTCTGCATAGACACGGCGTTGCGCTTGCCCTGTCCCGCATGGCCAGACAAAACTTATCGTAGGACCTTCGTGTTCGTTCGTTTCTTGTCCTCTACTGCCTTGTCCTTGCTTCTGCTTGGCACGGCCAGGTAACAAGAGCCGTAAGGCAAAAAAGATTCCTCCGAGGTACGGGTCTTACAATAACGGATCGGCAAATGCTTTGTAGCATGGCGAGGTTGTCGGACGGAGATTGCACGCAAAAGCCCTTCAATGCCCAAGGTTGTTGGAATACTTGCAGAAGGAGTTCGAACCATCGTACCACGTCCGCTTTCTTGAACAGAAGTGGGGACCTCACTGCAGAACCACTGCCGCAACGTAGGTCTCGAATAGAGGTATGTGAAGTGATACAAAGAGTGGTGGAAGATCTCCATGGTACCCAGCCACCAGGGGTAGCTGGTGTTGAAGTGTAGATATCAGTGTAGGCAAGCCAACTATATCGAAGATGGCCAAATATTATGAAGTCTGAGGGTAAGGTCATGTTGCGAGGAAGTGGCCGGACAACAGCATCATTTTCAGGCAGATCTGCCCTGATGGAGAGGCCTGCTTTCGGCTTTCAGAGTGCTCGCTGCATGCAGCCACACGGCTTGTATGCGCCCTTTGCGCCTTCCCGTAGCTGGCTGTTGAGTACTTTCTTCCGCACGCAGTTTCGCGAGCAGGAGTTCCGTTCAAGTCCGTCCATCTGCCTTGGGCTGGATGGGGCTTCAATCAGCATTCATTGCTCTCTGCACACTGCTCTTACGCATGCATGCCTACGGCCTGGGAAGTACTGGAGTATCACGGCCTTTGGCGCAAGAAGGATTACGCCTGTCGGAAGTCTTCCGATTTTTGGGCTGCTGGGGGTTTGCAGTCGAGTTGCTGATCGTTCGTGAAGATTGCCTGAATCTTGCAAAGGCGCAGGCGCTAGCCGGGCTTCAGGGCAAGAGACATAACAAATCATCGCAGCACAGCTTGCCGTATCCGACAAGCTGATGACTGGTAATCTGCTGCAAGCAGCAGGAAAGTGGGCGTTTGCAACAACTCCACTGCACTTGCCTTGTGCAGGGACCCTGGATTGTCGCGGTGCAGCGAGAGCTGGTTGGAGGAGCGGTGGTGACCAATGAGGCGACTCTGTCCCGCGCTTGTAGCAACGAAGTTCACGGAAAAGTTCACGGTCAGTTGGGGTCTGGCAGCGCAGCTTGACCCAGCTTGCCTACTGCAGTTGCCAGGTTCTCCGGTCTGACCATGAGTTCGGTGCTCAGATGTCCGCTGCATCCCAGTGATGCCACCGCCCAGAAGCCTGGAGGCCAAGCGAAGACGAGATCAGCGAGGCGTTCGATCGCTCCCCGGCCGTGATCAGCTTTCGCTTCTCCTCTGACGCTCAGACATAGGTTCGCATGTGGTTTGGAACGCAAAGCTACATTGTAAGGCTATGAGGCGAGCGACAAAGATCCGTCATCCCCGTCGTCGTTGCAGGGATGAGCTGTTCTGCTCTGCACTCCGCTGCTTTGTGTTGATCCTCCGCTCGATCGATGACACAGCTCATATTGCTCTCGTGATTTCTGCTTCTACAGTGAGTCTGCTTTGAGCCTCAATATGCAATTGGATTGCTATGGCTTCATGTCATGGTGGTACAGTAGCTAGGATGCCGAACCTTGAGCCAATGCTGCCGTGTCTTCGAGTCCAGCCCCTAAGTCTGTGACGACAGCCATGGACCGCACCAGAAACCTGGACAATTACTTGCCACCAGCTTCCAGCGGTAGCACCGTGGGCTCCTCGGGATCGCAGGAGAAATGTGTAGGAGAATTTAGTACCATTTACATGTGTGTGTGTGTGTGTGGGCTCTCTGTGCTCGTTCCAGGTTTGCATGCCAAGCATCTAGCGACACTAGCGTGTTCAGGCCATTGCTGGTATCGTTCTATGGATCGTTGCCGGGATCTGCCTCCTGTTGACCTTCCGTCTGATGCCCAGCCAAATCAATCATGTCCTTCAACGCCGGGCTCTCCGTTTGAGTGAAGACAAGCTACGTGTTCAAGCAACAATGCAGAACGCAAACTCAGAAGCTGAAGCTGAGCGGTCAGGCAGCGCCACGGCTGTTCAGCAGTGTGTTCAAGCCTGCGGCGCAAGCCTCAGACCTGAGACCGAGAGTTGCCCAGCATCGCGGAACACATGGCTGTCACGAAAGCTAGCTCCGTCGGTTGACAGATTTGATGCATTGCCTAAGAGAGTATTTCACGTTCACCGCGGACTTCTTGTCCGACTCGTCGTTGACAAGCACAGGCATCGACCGAGTTTGTATCGACATGTATCGACCGAGTGTGTATGAGTACTCACATTCGCTTACCAGCATGTGCTCGGATTTGCAATACACCGCTGCCAATTCACTCCCCCTAGTCGTCCGCTCTGCTCTCGAGTCAAGGGATATCAAGGGATCACAGAAGAAGACACCATGCCGTCACGACGGACATGAGTTTTTGCTGCGAATTTTCAACAGGAGGTGGCTGCGTGGAAGTCGGAGGGCGCCATGTCGAGTGCGGAGGTCATGGAGAGGCACTCGCTGGTCAGGATGACTAACAAAGAGCGAATGTTCAGCTGGGATGCTTCAAGCCCTGAGACGTAGACGACGTAGACGTGTTCCATCACGATCTTCGCGGCCAGGCTTGCTTCGATTTTTGCCGAACGCAGCGAGACGAGAAGGCAACAGCGGTGCACTTGCACGTTCAACAAGTGCTTCCGATCATAGACGAACCCTAGAATGCAAGGCTTGCATCCAGAAGCGCCATTGTATTGAAGAAGCGGACAAGGAATGGCACAAGGTCCAGGCTTGCGTCATTGCTTGCAGAGAGCAGTCTGTGGGTCAGCTTGGAAGCCCCACAGTGGACTAGGCCTGCGAGAAGGAGCAGGAGTGCGATTTGCAGGGCCTGCTAGGCTTCGACAGCCGTTGAGCTTGATGTTGTGATAGTTTGTACGCAGATGGAAACTAGAATCTAGAATCTCCTCGCTGGCTCTGTGTCAGCGTGTGTCTAGCCACCGAGCTCCTTCTATGCTGGTCTGGCCTGTCAAGTGCTTTCATGCTCTCGTCGCGGCGCATATCATAGCGAGCAGGCACGGGAAAGGGCTTTGAACTGATGTCGGTGCTCGCATCAGTGCTGCTGCACCCTCGGTTGCTTTCGAGCGCTTGCAACAAGCATCCGAACGGCTCCTCAGGCCTGTGCTGGGCACGATTTGCCTCAGCCTCTTTCAGGCTGCGATGGGGTTGGTGCTGAGCAGCGACTCCTGAAAGACATGTCATCAGGAACCTTTCCAGATGGATGCCTCCGTTTTGAGGCCAATGGCAGACTTAGGATCCCTGCACCTAGTTTCAAGATCCCTCTGAAGTGGCAGGGACCTGTACTGCTCGGACTACGTTGCCCGGGCCATGTGGCTGTTTGGAGCGGGTTGGGATCCGAAAGGGCAGGGGTCAGTCCTCCGTCCGCACGGGCTTTCAGGTCTCAGGCAGATCTCGGTTTTCTTGCTCGGAGGAGTCTTGCTGACCCTCTATGTGGCATGGCTTCTGATTGCCGCTCGATGTAATCGAATGTAGGCATCCCTTGAATGGGGAAATTGGGCCTGATGGTCTGCGCCACCAGGCTACATTCAGCCCCAGCAGTGAAGAGGAGGGTGCCTTGGTGGAGCCCTTGCTGGCAATGATGGAATCAAGTTGTGCGTGTGAGGCCTTATGCCGTCCTGCCAAGCTCAATCTGAGGAAGTAGTGGCCGGTGCCTTCGCGCTGACGGTGAACTGTGGTGCGTGCTTCTGCATCAGTCTGGCGAGGTGGGGCTTCATCACCGTAGTGGTTGGTCCTAGGACTACATGAGAAGGAATTACGGCCATATCCATTGATGGAACGTAGTTGCTGGAAGGTGCTGCTTGGCCCCGAACGGATACGAGAAGTTGCCGCAGCGGTCGTGATGTGCCCGCCAGATCCTGCAGCTACAGAGGATGTTCCGGGTGGTGAGCAACAAGTGCACAACATTTGGATAAGCGCATCTGGGAGAGTGGACTACACAATCCCAAGAGAAGAAACGACCTCACTAGCAGAGCAGTGCAGGTGTACTTGTAGCAAGAATTGGCGGCTCCTAGAGCCCCTTTGCAGCCGCAGAAGCGCTGCATCTTCCGCCCTGTTCCCGCGCCGGTGACTCATAGATCTGGCAACCACTCCGACAAGTCTAGATCTTGAGCGATATGCTGAAACCTGCCGCGTGGCTGGGCGAATTCGTGAAGCTGTCCTGAAACAAGGGGACTGCTGTTCTGCACGTGCGGGTGCTGAAGACTGTTGGAGTTGGGGTCCGAGGTTTTTCCAGGACACTGCGCCTGCCCGGACCAGATGATAATGCCAAGTGAGGACGCCACGCCTTCCCCCAGCACCTGGGGAGTGGGGGAGTTGGCTGTCGCATGGTCACGCTTAGAGGCACAAGACCCTCTCAAACGAAAGCTGCTGCCTACACGAAAACAGGACTTTTTGGTCACAGCCTGTCATTCTTCGAATGAAAGCAGACGATCAAGTCGCCAGGTCTGACACTATTGCTGAGTTCCTCCGCAAGGAGCGATCAACCTTACACTCGCAGTTCAAATCCGAGCGCTTGCTGCCAGGACAGGAACAGTTGAGCTTCAATGCCATGGTTTCCAGCAGCCGTGACGCGCGGATGTTCGAGACAATTGGCGCAAGAAACCGCTTCTCTGTGCATGTGGTGGAGTTGCTCCACGGAGACCAATGTCAATCTGGATAGTCAGTACTGTTCAAGTGCTGTGCCCGCAAATGCAAGCAGTATTTGTCCAACGTAGTGTATTGTCGGCCTAAGCTCTTGGTTTGCAGAGAGCTCTTGAGAACGAAGCGCGACCATTTCCTTGTCGTGTTGTAAAGAGATGAACGAACGAACACACACACACACACACACACACTCACACACACACACACACACACACACACACACACACACACACACTCACACACACTCACACACACACACACACACAC